TGGGACTACAGGCGCCCGCCACCTCACCTGGCTAGTTTTTTGTATTTTTTAGTAGAGACGGGGTTTCACCTGTTAGCCAGGATAGTCTCGATCTCCTGACCTCGTGATCCACCCATCTCGGCCTCCCAAAGTGCTGGGATTACAGGCTTGAGCCACCGCGCCTGGCCGATTTTTTTTTTATTTCTATGACTAATTCTTCTGCCACATACTTCCAGTGCTACATTAAAATAGAAGCATTGGCCAGACTCCATGGCTCACACCTGTAATCCCAGCACTTTGGGAGGCCAAAGTGTGTGGATCACCTGAGGTCAGGAGTTTGAGACCAGTCTGACCAATATGATGAAACCCCGTCTCTACTAAAAATACAAAAATTAGCCGAGTGTGGTGACATGAGTCTGTAATCCCAGCAACTCGGGAGGCTGAGACAGGAGAATCGCTTGAACACGGGAGGCAGAGGTTGCAGTGAGCCAAGATCACACCAATGCACTTCAGCCTGGGCAACAAGAGCAAAACGGCATCTCACAAAAAAAAAAAAAAAAAAAAGAAGCATTGACAATGGGCACAATATAGTTTTGTATTGGTGTCTGAATTCAATGGAGCAAGTACCTCTTCAAGTTTTCACAAACTGATTTTAGAAGGTAAAGATCTTCTTTTGTTGGCCCTTAGGGTGATGAGATCTTCTCTGAATTTGTACTGAAGAGGGACTGTAGCTTGGTCACAAAGCTGCTGGGTCTGCACTAGGGTCCACCTTTAGTTGGCTTGGTACAGGGGCTTGGGTAGTTGTAATTTCCATTTTATTTTTAGACAGAATATCCTTCAGGACTTTGCTCCACAGGGCAGACACTAGGGCACGTTTTTGCAGTCAGGACTGCTTATGGTGGGCCTTATATCAGGATGTGGATGAGTATGGCTTTCAGTGAGTACCAGAGAGCATTTCCTCAAGTAACCCTGTGAGGGTTTCTATATAGGCAGAACGGACCACATACTTGGCTCAGTTAAATGAAACTGAGTCATTGAACTGCTTCAGGGACCACAGTAAAGGCCAAGGTCTGCAGGCCTGCCTACATGGCTGTAAATGGGTGCCTTCCTCCAGGTCTCTGGAATGGCTGGACCTCTCCCAGACTGCATCTGGGAGGAGTTTGGGATGGTTACAAAGTAAGTTCAGAATTGTCAGTGGGACCAAATTGGGTAAACCCTAGCCTTGTCTATAGCCAAGAACAGGGTTCCTTTAGTTTCCCACCTATATGAGGACCTACCTTCTGAATAGAACAATTCTCAATCTTAAGCTTTAACAGCATTTCACAACTGCATCCCTGGATCTCAAATCTGTCTTCGAGGCACTTATTTTGGAGATGGCGTCTTGCTACATAACCCAGGCTGGTCTCGAAATCCTGTTCTGAAGCAGTTTCATAACCTTAATGTACCATGTAGCTATCATTACAGGTGTGAGCCAC